CAAGAAAAGCAACAGGACATCAAGCAAGGAGAGTCAGGGAGAGGGCAAGCAGCGACAGAGAGACAGAGAGGGATCACAGAAGTAGCAGACACAGGAAAGGAGGGGAGACAGAGGGAGGGTCAAGAGAGAGAAAGGGCAATCAATCAAGAGAGGAGAGGTCAAGGGAGGGGGAAGAAGAGAGAAGGGCAAAGAGAACGCAGACAGCAAGCATGAGGGAGAGAGAGGAGGTCAGACAGAGCCCAGAGGTCAAGACAGAAGAGAGAAGGAGCAGAGGGAGAGGAGCAAGAAGAGGCAGGAGAAGAGCAAGGAGAGCAGACATGGAAAAAGCAGTGGAGAGAGAGCAGGAGAAGAGAGAAGCACACAGAGGGAAGGGAGAGAAGCAGAGGAGTCAGCACAATGGAGGCGTCAGCAGCAGATCAACACCACAGAGAAGAAAGCAAGGCAGAGAGGAGAACAAGAAGAGGAAGGAGAAGAAGGAGAAGCAGGGGAGAAGGGAGCGAAAGGCAAAGGAGGAGAGGAGCAGGAGGAGATGAATCAGAGAGAGCAAGAGGGGTCAAAGGGGGGGCAGGACGGGCCTAGAGGGAGAGCAGAGCAAGAGGCAACAGAGAGCAGAGGGGAGAGAGAGAGACAGAAGGGAAGGAGGCATGCAAAGCAGAGCAGAGCAACAGCAAAGAAAGCAGCAGACATGAAGGAGAAAGAGAGGAGGAGGCAGAGAGACAGAGAGACAGGAAGAGGGCAAGCAAGGGGCCAGGGGAAGACAGCAGCACAATAATGACAGAGAAAGCAAGCAGAGAATGAAGAAACAAGAGAGAGGAAGTCAGAAGGTGGGAGGAGGGCAGGACAAGAAGAAAGCAGACAAGGGGGAGAAGGAGAGGGAGCGAAGGACAGGGCAGGCAAGAGCAGAGCAGGAGGTAGCAAGAGGGGGAGGAGAGCCAAAAGAGGAAGAGGGCGAAACAAGGCAGAGCAGGGAAGGCAGGGGGGTCAACCAGAGCAGAGAGAGGAGAGACAAAAAGAAGGAGAGAGCAGTGATGCAGAGAGAGCAGCAAGAGAAAGCAGCAGAGACAGGAGATCAAGGGAAGGGGAGGCAGAGAGGGCGTCAGAAAAGCAAGGGGCAGAAACCAGCACGGGAGGAGGCAGGGGAAAGGGAGAAGTCAGGAATGGAGAGAGGCAGGGAGAGAGGAGGCAGCAAAGTCAGGAAAGGAGAGAGCAGAAGAGAAGAGAGAGGCAGCAAGAGAATCAGCAGAGGAGAGGTCAGACATCAGGAGAAGGGGGAGTCAGAAGAGAAGGGCTCAAAAAGAAGAGGGGGGCAAGAAGAGAGAAACAGCAGAGAAGGGGGAAGGAGTAGGGAGGCAGCAGAGGAAGAAGGGCACAAAGAGGAGGGAGGAGAGCAGGGTCAGCACAGGAAGCAGCAGCATGTCAGAGCAGGCCAAAGCAAAGTCAGAAGTGGGGACAGGAGAGCAGGAGAAGGAAAGGCAGGACAGAAAGAGCAAAGGGAAGAAGGGAGAGACAATCAGCACAGGAGGGGGGGAGAGCAGAGAAGGCAAGAGGGCAAGAAAAAGGGGAAGAGCAAGAGAGCAAGGGAAAGCAGAGAAAGGAGCAGGAGAAGCAGAGGAGGCAGGAGGACAGCCAGGATGAGGGGCCAGAGCAGGCAGCAACAGCAGAGGACAGGGAGAGAGAGAGAGAGGGAGACCAGGGAGGAGGCAGAACAGGAGAAAGGGCAAGGAAAGAAGAAGGAGAGCAAGGCAGAGGAAGGAGAGCAAGATGGAGAGGCAAAAGAGAGAGGGCAGAGAGGAGGTCAAAGGCAAGGAAAAAAAAGGAAGCAGGAGGAGAGAGGAGGGGGAAGAGCAAGAAGAGCAGGAGATCAGGAGATGACAGAAGCAGTCAGAGGAGGGGATGTGGGAAGAGAGGGGAGAAAAGAAGCCAGACAGAGAAATAGGGAGCAGAGGAAGGCAGCAAGACAGATCAGCAGCAAGAGGAAAAGGACATAAGAGCAGAGAAGCAGGAAGAGGAGGGGGATGGGAGTCAAGAGTAAGTGAGAAGAACAAGAGGAGAGAAGAGAGACAAGGGCAGGGAGAGAGAGGCAGAAGAGTCAGGAGAAGGCAGAAGGAGAGAGGCAGGACAGAAGTGACAAGGGGGACAGGAGCAGAGCAGACAGATAAGAGCAGAGGAGGAGGAGGGAATCAGAGAGCAGAAAGCAGGGAGAGGAGGCAGCAAAGAAGGGAGCAGGAGGGAGGCAGGCAAAGAGACACACAGAGAGAGCCATCAACTGAAGAGGAGCACAGGTGACAGAGGTCAAGAAGGAGGCACAAAAGGCGCAATTGAGAATCACAAGCAGGAGGAGCAGAGAGAAGGAGAGAAGAGGGACAAGAGGGACATAGGGGCAGAGAAGAGAAGAGAGCAGAGAGGGGGCAGAGAAGAGCAAGAGAAGGGAGGGGCAGAGGCACAGCAGGGACAGGCCACAGCAGAAGGGGCAGCAGAAGAAGGCAAGCAGGCAGAGGGAGGAGGCAGCAGGAGCAGGGAGATAAAGATCAAGCAAGGAGGAGGCCAGGGCAGCACAGAACAGGGCAGAAAGCAAGCAAGAGAAGGAGGCCAGAGGAGCAGAGAGAGGAGGCAAGAGCAAAGAAGAGAGAAGAGGGAGTGGAGGAGGGCAGCAAAGAAGAGGAGAGAGAGAGAGCAGCAGACAGATCAGGCAAAAGGCAAAGAGAGAGAAAAAGAAGCAGAGAGCAAAGAGAGAATCAGTCAAGGAGGCAGCAGCAGCACAGCAGGCAAAGTGAAGGAGCATCAGGGGAGAGGGGCAGCAAAGAGGGCAGCAGAGCTAGGAGGAGCAGAGTCAGAGGGAGAAGCAGCAGATCACAAAGCAGCAACAGGCAGGAAGGACAGAGTGGGAGGGGGAGGAAGACAGGCAAGGAGGAAGGCAAAGAGAGAAAGAGAAGAAAAGGAAAGAGGAGCCAGATGAGGGCAAGCAAGAGATGAGAGAGCAGAAGCAAGGAAAGAACAAGACGCATACAGGGGTCAGAAGAGAAGAGACAGAAGGAAGAGAAAGAGGGGCAAGGGAGGAAAGCAGGGCAGAGGGAGAGGCAGAGAGCAGGAAGAGGGAGCAGGGGCCAAAGCAGCAAAAGGGGAAGAGGGGGCACAAAGGAAAGCAAAAAGGAGAGCGAGAGATGGCAAGATGAGGGGAAGAGAGAGGGAAGAAGGAGACGAGGGAGGGAGAGACAAGACAGAGAGCAGGAGCAGGCATAGAGGCGAGTGAGAGCAGTCAGAAGAGATAGAGAGAAAAAGCAGAGGAGCACAGCAGGAGAGAAGGACAGAAGCACAAGAGAGAAAAAGGGGAGGCAGAGAGAGGAGAAGGAGCAGCAGACAAGGAGAGGGACAAGGCACAGAAGCGAGCAGGAGACAGGCAACAAGAAGATGGCAGAGGCAGGTCAGAGACAGTCCAAAGAGCAGAGGAGGAGAGAGAGATAAGGGGCTGGTTCAAAGAGCAGAGAGAGAGCAGGCGAGAAGAGAAGGGCAAACAATGGAGAAGAGAGGACGACGGGCACAGAGGAGACAGGGAGAGGAGAAGCAGAGAGCAAGGGCAGCACAGAAAGAAGCAGGGAGAGCAGGAAGGCAAGAGAGGAGATGGGAGCAGTGAGATGAAGGACAGAGCAGGCAACAGAAGACATTCATAGCAGGCAGGGAAAGAGCAGCAGAGAGACAGCAGAGGGCAAAGGCAAGAGGAAGGACAATGAGAAAGCAAAGCAGGGCAAGAAGAGAAGAGGGAAAGAGGAGGCAAGGGGGCAGAAGGCAGCAAGAGAGCAATACAGAGAGAGACAGGAAAAGGGGATCAAGAGGAGGAAGCAGAGGCACAGAGAGAACAAGAGGATCAGGGGAGCACAAGGACAAAGAGAAGGGGCAGGAGAAAAGAGCATGAGCAAGCAAGAAACAGGGGGAAAGGCAAGAGGGGAGCAAGAGGTGAAGAATGAGAGCAGAAGAGAGGGGAGAGACAGAGAGGGGGAGGAGCAGCAGCCAGAGGAGGCATCAGCAAGCAGCGGAGGAAGAGAGAAAGGAGAGGATAGGGAGAGGGAAAGGAGCAAGAAGAGGGGGCAAGAAGAAAACAGCAGAGGGTCAGGCAGAGGAGAAGAAGAAGAGAGAGAGCAGACAGAAAGAGAGGGGAGCAGGGCAAAAGGAAGAGCAAGCAGAGGCAGAGAGAAGAGAGCAAGGGGAGAGCAGCAGAGAGAACAGAGCAGGAAGGAGGTAGAAGGCAGGCAGGAGAGAGGCAGGGGGCAGGAATCAGGAAGGCAGAGGGAGGGAGCAGCAGCAGTCAGAGGCAAAGAGGCAAACTGATGGGCAGGCAGCAAAGAGGGAGCAGCAGGGGAGAGGCGAGCGAAAGAGTAGCCAAAGAAAGACAGAGAGGAGGCGCAAGAGAGCAAGAGAGGAGCACACAGAACAAGAGGAGCAGCAAGCAGGGCAAGCAGAGAAACAGACAAGATGAAAAACAGAGCAAGAGGATAGGAAGGAAGTGAGAGGAGGAGAGAGAGACAGAGAAGGGCAGCAAGAGGAGAAGAGGCAGCAGCCAAGGGGAGAGGAAGGACAGGGGGAGCAGCAAAGAGAGGCAGATCAAGGGACAGGAAAGCAGAGAAAGATAGGGTCAGGAAGAGAGGGGGGAAGCACACATCAGAGAGCAAAGGGGAGGCAGGAGGAGGAGAGAGAGAGCAGGAGAGGAGGAAGGAAAGGAAGACAAGAGGAGGGCAGAGAAGAAATCAGGGGGACAGGAAAAGAGAGAGCAGAGAAGAAAGAAAGCAAGAAACAGACAACAGAGGAGGGCAGAGGAAAAGTGGAAGGGCAAGAAACAGAGGCAGGAGGGCAGGGCAGAAGAGAAGCAGAAGGGAAGGAGGATGGAGGGAGCAGCAGATACAGAAGAGAGAGGAGAAGCAGCAAAAACAAGGAGTAGGAAGAGGTCAAGAGAAAGCAGGGCAGATCAGCAAGAGGAAAGAGAGAGGAGGGAAGGAACAAGAGCAAGAATGAGAAGAGAAGGAGCTGAGGAAAGCAGGGAAAGACAGAGGGTGCACTGGAGCAGAGCAGACAGGCCAGGCAACAGGCAGACACAGCAGCAGAAGGAAGAGAGCAGAGCAAGAGAGGAGACAGAGAGGACAGATGGACACAAGAAAAAGAGGCAAGCAGAGATGAGGCACAGCAGAAGAGACAGGAGGGGAGCAACAGGCAAGAGCAAAGAAGGACAACAAGCAAGGAGCAGGCAGGGCAAGCAGAGACAGAAGAGGAGGAGGAGGGGAGGAGGAGGCATCAGGAGAAGACAGGAAAGGGCCAGAAGCAGCGGAGAAAAAACAAAGCACAGGAGGGCAGCAGGCAAGGACAAAGGAAAGACAGAAGAAAGCAGGAGGCAGAGAGGAGAAGCAGAGAAGGGAAAAGGAGAGGGAGGGCCAGGGGAAGGAGGGGAGGGAAGGCACAGGCCGAGGGAGGCAGGAGAGAAAGAAGACAAGAGGACAAGGAGAAGAAAAAGCAGACAGAGAGCAAAAGAGAGAAGAGAGAAAAAGAGAGAACAGAGGCAAGCAGGAGAAAGCAGGACAGGAGGAGTCAAGGAGACAGAAAGCAGGAGCAAGCAGAAAAAGAGAACAAGGAGAAGAGAGAGAGGGGGGCAGAGAGAGAGCAGAGAAGAGAAAGCAAGGCAGAGATCAGAGAGCAGAGAGAAAACAGGAAGGAGGACAGAGCAGAGAACAGATGGACAGGAGAAGAGAAGAAGGGAAGAGCAGCAAAAAGAAGAGGGAGAGTAATCCAGGGGCAGAAGGGGCAGAGGGAGGGGCACAGGGGGCAAGACAGCAGAAGCAGGGCAAAGGCAGGCAGAGGTCAGAGGAGAGAGGGGAGCAAGAGAGAGGAAGAAGCAAGCAGTGAGGCACAGAAGACAAGAGAGAGTCAGCAGAAGGAGAAGGGCAGGATCACAGAGGCAGGAGGGAGGGATCAAGAGACAAAGGAAGGCAGAGGGAGCAGCAAAGCAGGAGAGAGAACAGAAGAACAAGCACAGAAGACAGAAAGAGCAAGGCAGGGAAGCGAGCAGCGAGGGAGAGCAGCAGAGGAGAGAGCAGGAGCAGAAAGAAAGAGAGATCAGAACAGTGGAGCAGAGAGGAGAGGCAGAAGCAAGAGGAGGAAAGGCACAGCCAGGGAGTGCAGAGAGAGGAGATGAGGAGGGCCAGTGAGAGAACAGAGAGAGGGAAGAAGGAGAGAAGAAGTCAGGAGTCAGCACAAGGAGGGCAGGATCAAACAGAGGAGAGAGGAGGAGAAGGCAGGATGAGCAGAGACACAGGGCAAGGAGAGAGAGAGCAGGGAGGCCAGCAGAGCAAGGATCAGCAGGAGGGACAGAGAGAGAGGAGCAGAGAAGCAACAGAGAAGGAAGAGAGGCAAGGAAACAGAGAGCAGAGCAGTAGAAAGGGGGGAAGGGCAGAAAAGGAACAGCAGGGAGCAGATCAGAACAGGCAGAGAAGAGAGGGAGAGAGAAAGAGAGAGAAGCAAGAAGAAAGAACCCCAAGAGAGAGTCAGAGGAAAGCAGAGAGAGGGCAGAGGGAGAGAGAGAAGGAGAGCAGCACAGCAAGAGAGAGGAGGGAGAGCAAAAGAGCCAGAGAGGCAGAAGCAGCCAAGAGGAGAAGACAGAGGGAAGACAAAGACAGAAGGTCATGGGGAGAGAAGAGCAAGACAGAGAAGGCAGAGGCAAAGGGCAGGGCAGAAAGCATAAGCAGAGGGCACAGGAGCAGGAAGAGAGAGGGGGAGCAGAGAAGAAAGGGAGAGGCAGCAGGGCAGGGGGGAGAGGAAAGGAGCAGGTGAAAAGAAAGAGAAGCGAGAGTCAGAGGCAGAAAGAAGAGGAGGGACAGAAAAGAGAGAGAGCAGAGCAAAGTACAAGAAATCAGGCACAGTAGACAGACGGAGGCAGGCAAACAATCAAGACAGAGAGGCAGAGAGGAAGAAGCAGGCAGAGGGCAGGAAAGAAGAGAGCAGAGGAGAGAGAAGAGCAAGAGAGCACAGCAGGAAGGAGCAGAGAGTCAAAGTAGAGAGAGAGAGAAAGAGGGAAAAAGACAAGGGGCAGAAGAGCAGAAGCAGGGGGGGCAGAGAAGAAGAGGGGGAGCACAGAGAGCAGGATGAGCAGCAAGGAAGCAAGCAGAAGCCAGAGGGCAACACAGAGCAAGAATTGAAGTGAAGAAGCAGTAGAGCACAGCAGAGTCAGAGAGAAATGAAGAGAAAGGCAGCAAGAGCCAAGCAGGGGGAGCAGAGGACACAACAGCAAGGGAGGAGGAGAGAAGGGGCAGGACCAGGTAAGCAGGGAGAGGCAGAGAGAGGAAGCAGGAAGCAGAGAGAAGGGAAGTCAGAGGAGGAGGGCAGCTAAGAGAGGAGGCAGAGGGGAAAGCAAGAGCACAAGCAGCCAGCAGAGGCCCGCAGACAGCAAGGGACACAGAGGGCAGAGGAGGGAGAAAGGAGACAGGTAGTAGAAAATAAAGGAGAGGGGGCACCAGGAAGAAGAAGAGCAAAGAGAGGAAGCGAAGGGGAAGCAGCTAAGCAGAGACAGGAGCCAAGAGACAGAGCAGAGCAGGATCACAAACAGGGAAGAAGGCAGAGCCACAAGAGCAGGAGGCAGGCAGCAAGGGAGCATCAGAGGAGGGAGAAGCAGGAGCATCAGGGAACAGATAGATGGAGAAGGGCAAGAAGCAGAAGCAGAGCAGACAGCGGCAGGAGAGCAGGAGAAGAAGAACAAAAGGGAGGAGGAAGAAAGCACAGAAGAGGGAGAGCCAAGAAGCAGAGATGAAAAGGGGCACAGAGGAACAAGGCAGAGGATCACAGCAGGGAGCAGGAGAGATCAGCAGAGAGCCAGGGAGCAGGAGATGCAGGGAGCAGCAAGAAGAGGGGATCAGGAGAGAGAGCAGGAGGAAGAAGAGAGAGAGAGAAGGGCAAAGAGCGAGAGAGGAGCAGACAGCAGCACAGAAAAAAAAAAAAAAGCAGACAGAGAGGGGGAAGAGAGAGACAGCAGACAGCAGAGGAGGAAGAGACAAGCAGAAGGAAACAAGAAGCAGAGTCAAGAGGAGCAGGAGGAGCAGAGGCAATAGGAGCAGGGGAGCAGAGTCAGAAGAGCTCAGAGAGAGAAGTCAGAGAGAGGTCAAAGGCAAGAAGAGAGAGGAGAGAGCCGAGCAAAGAGGAGAGGGTAGAGCATAGGAGCAGCAGCAGCAAAGACAGCAACGGAAGAAAGGGAAGAACACTGATGGAGGGGGGCAAGGGCAGCATGCAAGGGAGAGAGATCAGGGCAGCACAAAGCAGAAGTTCAGAGCACAAAAGAGCAGCAGAAAAGCAGAGATCAAGGGCAGGAAAAGTAGCAGGAAGAGTCAGAGCAGACAATCAGACAACAGACAGAGAGAGCAGGGCAGGCAGGAGCACAGAGGAAGACAGAAAGGAGCAAGAGAGAAAGAGCAAGAATCAAAGTAAAAGAGCAGAGAAGAAAGAAGAGCAGGAGGCTCAGCAGAGAGCATGGAGAGTCAGGGAGGCAGAGAAGGAGCAAGAGGGAAGAAGCAGAGAGGAGAGGAAGAGGAGCAGGAGAGGGAGAAAAGAGGAGAGAGCACAGGCAGAGGAGGAGCGAAGGAAGAGAGTGAGAACAGCAGAACAAAGAGAAAGGGGAAAGGATCAGAGGAGGGAAGGCAGCAAGAATACAGACAGCCACAAAGGGAAAAGGGAGCAGAGGAGGAGAGGAGAGAGCAGCAGCACTGGGATGCAAGAGGAAAGAGGAAGCAGAGGTAGGCCGGGAGCAGCAAGGAGAAGGATGAGACAAGCAGGAGAGCAGAGCAGTCAAAAGAGTCAAATCAGAGACAGAAGAAGAGGAGAAGAACATAGAAGAAGAATCAGCAGAGGGCAGCAGGTGGGACAACGGGAGGGGAGGGAGAGAAAGTCAAGAGGAGTACAGACAGCAAAGACAGGAATGGAGAAGTCAGAAGAAGAACAAGGGGAGGGAAGTCAGAGCAAGAGGGGAGAGGAGCAAGGAGGTCAGAAGACACAGGAGAAGCAAGGAGGGAGAACAAGCAGGCGAGAGAGGAGAGAGGGAGAAGAGGGAAGAAATCAATAGAGGAGGACAAGGGAGGAGTGAAGCAGGGGGAAGAAAGAAAAGAGAGGGAGGAGAGAGAGACATCCGACAGAGCAGCAAAAGGGCAGGAGCAAGAGCAGGAGAGCAGAAACAGCAGAGTCAGAGGCAGAGGTAGGGCAAGTCAGAGAAGGGAGAGGGAAGAGGGCAAGCAGAGCAGAGGAAGAGGAGGAGGAGCAGAGAGAGGCAGCAAAAGAAGAGCAGGGAGGGATCAGGAAGAAAGGAGACAGGGCGCAGAGACAGAAGGAAGCAAAAGTCAAGAGAGAGGAGAAGGATAGGGCAGCAGCAGAGAGCCAAGAGGCAGAGGGAGAGCAGAGAGGGAGACAAAGCAGAGGAGCAGGGCAACAGCAGGAGGGAAGAGCAGAAAGAGAGAGTCAGGAAGAGAGGCAGCAGGACAGAGCAAGATCAAGGGGAGGAGGCAAGGACAGACAGTCAGGGGTGCCAAAGGACAATCAGAGTCAGAGGGCATGCAAAGAGAGAGAGAGCAAAGCGCAGAGATCAAAAGAGGATGGGAGTCACAAAGGCAACAGCAAATCAGAGACCACAGCAGCAGAAGACAAGAGCAGAGGAGCAGCCATAAGGCAGGAGCAAGCACAGACAGTCAGAGGACAGCAGCAGAGGGGGCAGAGGAGTCAGAGAAGGAAGGATGAAGGGAGGAGACACAGAAGACAGAGAAGAAGACAGGGACAGGACACAGACAGCAAGAAACAGCAGAGAGGGGGAGCAAGAGGCAGAGAGGAAGCAGAGAGAAAAGAGGAGAGGAGGGGAGAGGGAGAGAGGGAGAGGAAGGAGCAGACAAGCAGGAGAGAAGGAAGGGCAAGGGAGGAGGAACAGGAAGCACACAGGCAAAGAAAGACAGACAGAAAAGAGAGGGGAAGAGGAGGCAGATGAAGGAGAGCAAGGCAGGAAGCAGAAGGAGGAGAGTCAGGCAGAGCAGGAGAAGGAAGGAGGAGAGAAACAAGCAGACAAAGAGCAGGGAGGAGGAGAAGAGCAGGAGGAAAGAGGGAGGTCAGAGGGAGCAGGAAGCAGGGGGCAGGAGAGAAGGAGGGGGAGCAGGGAGGGAGGAGCAGAGAGGAGAGGGAGGGAGGAAAGGAAGCAGGCAGAGGAGCACAGGCAGTCAGAGCAGGCAGAGGAGCAAGGAGAGAGTGGGCAAGCAGGAGAGCACAGGGAAAGGAAAAGAGAGAAGAAAGAGGGGGCAAGGACACAAAAGGGAAGGCAGCAGGACACAGAGCAAGAGAGCACAAAGGAGAAGAGGGCAGCAGAACAGAGCAGAGGTCACAAGGGGCAAGCAAGAGGTCATGCAGGGAGAAGGCAAGGAGAGGTACACAGCAAAGGTCAGGGGCAAAGCAAGGAGGCAGACAGAGCGAGAAGGGGGGATAGACAGAAGAAAGGCAGGAGGGAGGGAGAACAGCAGAGGAAGCAGGCAGAGAGAATCATAGGGGAGGAGGGGAGGACAGCAGGGGGACAGAGCACAGGCAAAGCAGTGACAGGACAGAGGCAAAAGGAGGGACAGGGACAGCAAAGAGCAGCAGCAGGAGAGAGAACATGGAAGTCAAGCAGAAGGCAGAGAAGGGCAGGGGTCAGCAGAGGCAGGTCAAGGCAGGGAGAAGAGAGGCAAGGGACAGCAAGCAAACAGGAGGGAACAGGAGAAGAGCAGGAGAGAGAGGAGGGAGAGGAGAGAGGGAAGCAGACAGCAGAGCAGTAAAACAGGAGGGAGAAGAGAAGGGAGAACAAGCAAAGGGAGGAGGTCCCAAGAGAAGAGGGCAAGGGGCAGGAGGGGTAGGAGAGACAAAGAGAAAAGGAGAAAAAAAAGACGAGGGACCAGAGGCAAGAGCAGAAGAGAGCAGGCAGAGAAGCATCATGGGAGAGAGGCAGGCAGAGGGAGCAGGGAGAAGAGGGAGGCACGAGTCAGAGAGGGAAATGAGAGGGAAAGGCAGACAAGGGGGGAGAGACGAGAGAGCAAGGGAAAACAGAGAAGATCAAGCAGCAGCAGGGAGGCAGGGAGAGAGGGAGCAAACATCAGAGTCAGAGAAAAGCAGAGAGGGGCAGCAGAAGAGACACAGGAGGGGTCAAAGAGGCAGCAAGAGCACAAAGAAAAGCAAGCCAATGGGGGGAGCAGGAGGCAGCAAGAGGAGCAGAGAGCAGCACAGCACAAGAAGAGGACAGAAGAGCAAAGAAGGCAGAAGGAAGGAAGAGCAGCAAAGAGGGCAAAAAAGAAGCAGAGCAAGGGCAACAGCAGAGACAGCAGGGAGCATCAGAGAGGAAGCAGAGGAGAAGGGGAAGCAATCACAAAGCAAGGAGGAGTCAGAGAAGAAGAGAGGGAAGCAGGGGAGAGAGGGGAGGGGGGAGCAGGAGGCAACAAGCAAGAAGCAGCAGAGAGAGAGAGAGGGCAAGAGGGGCAGAGAGGCAGAGAAAGAGGCAGAGAGGACAGAGAAAGAGACAGTCAGGCAGAGAGGGCAGAAAGAGAGGGCAAGGGAAGGAGAGGAAGGAGAAGAGCAAGCAAGGAAGGACAAGAGGGGCAGAGGGAGGGACAGCAGGATAGAGAGGGAGGAAGAGCAGCAAGCAGGGAGCAAGGAGCAGCCAGAGCAAGCAAGGCAGAGCTCACAGGGTCAGAGGACACAGAGAGAGAACCACAAAGGAGAGAGAAAGGGGGGAGTCAGGCAGAGCACAGAGAGGAGAGGGAGGGAGAGACAGGAGGAGAGAAGAGAGGAGCGAGCAGAGGGAGAGGGAGAGAGCAGGAGAGGCAAGGCAAGGAGGCCGCAGAATGGTCAAAGGAGAGGAGAGAAACAAGGAGAGCAGAAGAGACAGGACAGGGCAGGTCAGACAAAGGAGAGAAAAAAAAAAAGCAGCTCAGCAAGAAAAAAACAGAGAGGAGCAGGAGGACATAAAAAAAAGCAGACAGGAAGCAAGCAGGACAAGCGGGAAGAGGAAGCGGAGGGAGAGGTGTCAGGGGTTCAGGGAGCGAGCAGGGGGGAGGCAGGAGCAGAGAAGTGACACAAAGAGAGGAGAGAAGCACAATCAAGCAGAGGCAAGTCAAAGGATGAGGAAAAGAAAAGCAGGCAGGAGACAGTAACAGAGCACAGCAGGAGAAGAGAGAAAAGAGAGAGCAAGCAGGAGGGTCAGGGCAGAAGCAGAGCCAGAGAGCAGGAAAAGAAGGGAGGAAGCAGAAGCAGGCCAAGAGCAAGGAGAACAGGAGCAGAGAGAGGGCAGAGAGAGAGACAGAAGAGACAGGGCAGAGGGCCGGAGATAGCAGACAGGGGGGAGGAGCAAGAGAGAGGCAGAGGAGGCAGGGGGGAGGGGCAGAAGAGCAAGAAGCAAGAGACAGGGCAGAAAGAGAGAGGCAAGACAGCAGAAAGACAGCAGAGCGGCAGAGGAAAGCAGAGCAGGAGAGAGAGGAGAGCCAAGGGAGAGAGGAGGGTCAGCAGAAGAGGGCCAAAGGGAAGGGAGTCAAAGCAGGAAGAGGAGCAGGCAGGCAAGGAGAGGCATGAGAAGGAAGAAGAGAGCAAAGGAAGAGGAAGGCAGCAGTCAAAGGGGAAGGAAGAAGAGGCAGAAGGAAGAGAGGGGAGGAGGGACAGGGTAGGCAGCAAGGTCAGCAGAAGCTAGAGAGCAGGCAGGCAAGACAGCAAGGAGGGAGAGAGGAAAAGGAAGGAGAGCAGAAAGAGAGCAGGGGAGACAGGAGGGGAGTCAGAGAGCAGCAGGAGGGCAAAAGCAGGAGCAGGAGCCATGAAGCAGGGAGGAGAGGAGAGGCAGCAAGCAGTCAGGCAGGGGGCAGCCTATATGCTGAAGAGAGAGGGAAGTCAGCACAGGAGGGGAGAAGAGAGAGAGCAGGGGAGAAGAGAGAGGAGCAGACAGACACAGGTCAGGAGAGGTCAAAGACAGAGGAGAAGAGGAAAGGGAGACAGGAAGGAAGTGAGGAGAAAAGGAGAGAGAGGAGAATGAGAAGCAGAGAGCAGAATTAGACAAGAGAGGGGAGAAAGTCAAGGCAGAGAGAGACAGAGAAGAGAGCAAGGAGAGAAGGGGAGAAGATCAGAATCAGGAGCAGCGGAAAGATGGAAGGAGGAAAGGAGAGCAGGGAAACAGGAGAGTGAGACAGAGGACAGCAGAGAAGGGAAACAGCAGCAGTGGGGCACACAGAGGAAGACAGAGAAGAGGGGTCAGAAGCAGGCAGAGCAGGGCAGAGAGAGGAAGTCAAGGACCAAGATGCAAAGGAGCAGAGAGAGGAGCAGGACAGCAGAGCGAAAGGAGAAGAGGGGGAAATGCATAGAAGCACAGGAGCAGAAGGAGGAGACAAGGGATGAGAGAAGAATGAGAGAAAGCAGGAGCGAGGGAGGAGAGAAACAGGAGGGGGGAGAGAGCAGAGGGATAGAGAGGAGGCAGCAGGAGGCGGCAGGAGAGAGAGAGGGAAAGGCAGAGGGACAGAGAAAGAGAGAAGCAGAGTGAGAAGATCAGCAGGAGGGCAGCAAGAACAGATGAGAGAAAGAAGGTAGGGGTCAGAGGAAAAAGCACAGAGGGACAAGAGGGAGAGAAGGGGAGGAGCAGGGAGCAGAGCCAGAAAGAGAAGCAGGAGATGGGAGCAGGAAGAAGGAGAGGCAAGAGAGAAGAAGCAGGGCAGCACGGGGGGGCCCAGCAAGAGCACAGAGGGAAGGAGAAGAGAGCAGGGGAGAAAGGAGGGGAAAGAATCAGAGGGGCAGCATGCAGAGAACAAAAAGGAGTCAGCAGAGTAACAGAAGACAAGAGACAGGAAAGAAGAAGGCAGGCAGAGAGGCAGCAGAAGGGGGAGCAGCAGGAGAGAGGAGACAGCACAGGCACAGGGGGAGCACAGACAGGCAGGCAGGACCAGTCAGCATGGCAGAGGAGGTGAAGGAGTCAAGAGAGACAGCAAGGGACAGACTGCAGAGCGGAAGAGAGGGAAGAACTGGAGTGAAAGGAAAGAGGAGACAGGGGCAGGGCAGGCAGGAGGAGGACAGCAAGAAGCAACAAAGATCAAGAAAAGAAGACAGAAAAGAGAAGCAGCAGGAAGAGGAGCACAGGGGAGGAAGGGCAGAGGAGAGGGGGGAGGGGGGGGGGTGGGGGGGGAGCGACAGCAGAGCAGAGACAAAGGCAAGAGCAGAAAGAGAGGAAAAACAAAAGAAACAGCAGGCAGAAGCAGGAGTGAAAGAGGAATCAGAAAAGCAGAGGAAGACAGACAAGGAGCACAGCAGGGAGAGAGGAAGTCAGGAACAAGGCAGGGGAGAGAACAGGAGAAGCAAGAGCAAGGAAGTCACACAGAGCAGAAGAGAGCAGGGCAGGACAGAGGCAGGAGAGGAATCAGGAGACATCAGAGCCAAGCAGAAAGAAAGAAGAGGGAGGGGCAGAGAGAGAGAGAGGAGGTCAGCAGAAAGAAGAGAGGCAGGAATGAGCAGAGCAGGGCAGGGGAGGAGCAAGAGAGAGAAGCAAGGAGAGGAAGGATCAGGAACAAAAGCAGAGGGAGACCAACAGAGAGGAGAGAGCACAGAGGGAGAGGAGAGTCAAAGAAGAGGAGAGCAGGAGAAGGCAGGGGCAGAGAGAAGAGAGAGCAAGATAGGCAGAGCAGCAGAGAAGCAGGGCAGCAGGAGGGAGAAGGGTCATCAGGGGGCAAGGCAGGAGGGAAGGAAAGCAGGCAAGGAACAAGCAAAGGGAAGACAAAGAGGGAGAATAAGAGACAGGAAGGGAGAGAAAGGCAGAGACAGATGAAGGAGGTGGAGCACAAAAGCCAGGCAGATAGGAGGCAAATAGAAAAAGAGTCAGAGAGAGAGGCAGTACAAAGTCCAAAGTGAGGGCAGAGAAAGCAGCAAGAGGACAGAGAGGAAGGCAAAGAGCCGGAGCAAGGGACAGACAAGAGGGCAAGAGGAGAAGCAAGCAGCAGGGAGAGGAGGGAAGGCAGGAGAGACAGGGCAGAGGGAGAGGGGGCAGACGCAGAGATCAGCAGAGAGAGCAAGTCAGGCAAAGAGGACCAGAGAAGGCAGCAGAAGGCAAGAGAGAGCAGGAGACAGGAGAGAAGACAGGAGGAGAGGAAAGGCAGGAGACAGCAAGCAAGAGAAGGCCAGAGTCAGAGATCAGAAGAGGCAAGGGAGACAGCAGAAGGGAAGGCAGCAGAAAGGCAAAAGGAGAAGCGCAGAGGGGGAGCAGAGCAGGGAGAAGAAAGACAGAGAAGGAGGAGAGGGGGGGGAGGAGCAGCAGCAGGAAGAGGGGAGTCAAGGAGAGAGAAGAGAGCAGGCAAGGAGAGAGTCAAGGAGAGGCGGGAGGAACAGAGAGCAGAACACAGTCAGGCAGCATAGCAGCAGATCAAAAGAGGGGAGCAGGGTGAGGAGCAAGG